GTCCTTTGTTGTCATTTATAGTTTGTCTTCTTTTTTAGAACTCAAAATGTACTGGACGTATATACTTGAAACTTTATTTGCGCAAGTTTATTGCGCAAGTATTGTAGTTTACCATTTGTATTTTTTTAAGTTATTGCACTTTTAAATTTGTCATGTTTTAAAATTTGGTTTAAATTTTAATGTTTTATTGTTATACTGTTTCTCTTTTAAAATTTTATTTATCTAGAACTAAATTAATCAAGCTTTATGTTTATTAATTTTAAACGATTGAATGATTATACAGTCGGCAATAATGTCAAATACTTTACTTTTTGTTCAATAACTCAGAACACAATTGAAATATAACAGCTTGAATTTATATGGATGAACATCTCTCATACTAGTAAAAAAGAGAAAAACTGAATCCTTAAAGAACGCCCAAAAATCAAAATTGAAAAAAAAAAAAATTGTTAAAAGCTCGGAGCTTTTAAGTTTAAAGCCCTTTCACATGTATTGGAATGTCAATGCGCCAGTATTTTTTTTCAAATTTTATCCCGAGTGGCGTAGAACAATTTAAGTCTGCTATGACTACCTTTTGTATATTTTTGTGTTAATTACATGCTTTTTATGCTTTATATTCAGTTTAACTGATTTCCATGTTTTCTTTCAGTTTGTTAATCAACTGATGACATCATTATTATAATATTATTTTGTTTTGTTGTATTTTTCACATTCAAAAATAGCTAGGCAACAGTTGCAATAACTATTTTGATAATAATTTGATAAGAAAAACAAGAACAAAAAAAAACATCTGAATACACACAATAATATATGTATAAAAATTTGTATAAATTTCCAAAACGGGGCGATTTCAATAAAACTTCACAGGATTGATAGTTGTGCAAAGTATTTTGATGCTCTGCTTGAATTTTTATTGGCACAGTTATGGACCCATAATGGTCAATTTTTGAGTAAAATAAGCTTGTCAGCGCTTCATCTCCAAAACCTCCGGAAAAATTTCAATGAAACCTCGCAGGATTGGTTGTCACTATCCCTAGTTGTGCATAGTATATTGATTGTTCAATAAATGAACTTTGTCCATGGTTCATTTCCAAAACTACATGGAAAATTTCAGTGAACATTTATAAAATTGTTTGCATTGTGCAATGATATTCCCCAGTTATGGGCCATTGGTGATGATTTGTTTAGTAAATTTGTTGATAGACTATTTCTCCTACACTTCCAGTGGAATTTCAGTTCAATTTGGGGTATACAGTCCGAACCCGGTTATTTGACAACCCTTTATTCGAATACCCGGCATTTTTCGAAGTAGATCGGCGGTCCCGTTTTTATCTCTATATAAATCAATATAAATACAAGCGTTTTATTCGAAATGCATTTTCCGAATACCTCCTATTTTTCGAAGTAAAATTTCGGTCCCGATTTTACAATTATGAAAGAATTTCTCAACTATTATTCGAAGCCAGACTAATTATTTTTCGAAGCCAGATTAATTGGCGCACATCCACTCGCTGACCGGTCGACATGTGAAAAATATCAACAGTCATGCGTGTATTAAGACAATCATGATAATTACGTTTTTGTGTGTTTTTTAATCAACTTTAAGTACCGAAAATGAAAAGCTATATGCACCGTGTCCGATGTTGTTACTGTTATTGCTTGAAGATAACAGCAATACTTTTCATACATAAAACGTTAATGCGAATTTGTCAAAACATCAATACATTTTTTTCATTAATTGTAACGCTACATGAGGAGCCTTTGTCCTAATCTAAAATATCAGAGTTTAGCTGTAAATACCCTAGTGAAAAACACAACCATTATAAAGGCTTTATGTGAAACGAAACACTAGATAATGTAGAATAAAATGCAAGTATATATGTCTTCAATGCCAATCAAATAATTTTAGGTATCTTTTCTGCAATATTTATTTTTCTCAGTTGATTGCTGGAAGTAAGTGTTGTAAACAGTAGTTTTGCTATGATCGATCAAAGTGGAGAAGTGTTCGTCTATCACAATATTCCGATTTCGATTATTCGAACCTACCGATTTTCGAAGTAAATGTTCAGTCCCAGGCACTTCGAATAATCAGGGTTGGACTGTGACAGCTTTTGTTGAAATTAAACAAGTAACTTCTAAGCTGTGATTTCTCTTAATTAGATATTTATGTTTCAAGAATAATAAAACATTAACCTTCTAAATTTCTTAAATGGATTTGTCCAGCTACCTTTTAGACATGTCTATATTGAGTTGTTGGTATTTATAAATGAAACTATTTGTCATTTGCCTCTACTGCTGTGGGTTCGAGTCCCACCATAGAATATGTATTCTTCCCTGTAAGGATGCTATCCAGCAAGCTTACAGAACGTTGGTAGCTCTACTAAGGAATCTGTTTGTGTCTGGAATAATTCTCAATGATCTACATCACAATAAAATCTTGAAATTCGCCTGTTGGCGTGACGCAGAACCCAACACACAAAAACTGTCAGTCATCCATTAGTATAGAGCCTGGTCAGACTTCAGGGATGTGCAAGCTGACCTGGCTCTGTACTGGTAGCCAAGATTTATCAATGTCATATTTATGAGATAACTATATTTGTAAGGTAACTATATTATGTCACTGTTTATATACTGTAAATATTAGACATTATTTCACCAACATATATAACTGTATTATATTGTTGTTTGTATACTGTAAATATTAGACATTATGACATACCTTTGCCGATTTTCCGACTCCGTTAAAATAGTATTGCACGGCTGTGCATATATTTTGATGTGACGTCATTTACATTATATATACGTGGCGTTAACACGCGCTAAATGTAAGCATTTTACTATTTGAGCATTTATTTTTGGTATGTGATAAATAGAATATTTAATTTGTGTAAGTTCATTGCTTAATTTATTTAACTCGTTGAATAAAATAATGTAATACTCGCCAGAGGCTTGCATAATATGATTTTATTCAACTCGTTCAATAAATTCAGTACTTAACCTACACTCATTCAATATCCTTTATTTATTTTAGGTAGATAACCATATCATGTCAATTTTTGTTTTAATGATGATACTGTTAGAACTGAATAAAGCAATAGGAATATGTTAACAACATATTCCATTGTTTAATAATTAATGTTCATTGCTAATAAAATATTGTTTTCAATATATTTCATGATAATTAAATCATGTAACAGATTCTTATGTTAGTTATAATTATCGCCTGTAGTACGTGCATCCAGTAATTCCGGGTTTAAGCTCAACTGTGAGAAATTGTAATTTCATGACACCAGTACTGGATAGTCCAGGAAATTGAGTCAATAATGATTTTATTTATTTTACAATTTTCTTAGCAACTGAGGTAAAATCACAAATACTTGCAAGTATTTCATTAGTTCAATCAAAAAGTTATGATTATGTTGATAAAAAAGGAGATGTTAAGAAGATACTTAAAGAAATGGTGGATAACGACAAAAACCTGCTTTCACGAAAGCTCGCCTCTTTGCTTAAATGTAAGCTTAATTAAGCTTTATTAATGAAATAATTTGCCCATTCTTAGACAAAAGAGGTCAGTGATCAAATGTGTCACCTACGATAGCCTATTGCAGCTACTGTGTAGCAGGATACACACAAATTATTAACATGGCAAAACGCATTTTTTATTTCAGGGCCATAACTCAATAAAAAATCATTCAACTAAAAAACCAATGTTTTCTGCGCAAGAACTTGAGCTACCACTACATCCTGTAAAGTTTCAATAAACTTGTAGGATTATTACCGGTAAAAATATCAAAATCATTAAATTTCAAAAATGAAAAATCATTGAAACTTGACAAAAAAAATTGAACCAGAAAATGCCGAAGATATGCACATTAAAAGTTTGAATGACATTGCATCAGTAGTTTCTGAGGGATGGTCCGGACAAGCTTCTGTGTAGCTGGCAACACAAAAACATCCTTTAACTGGGCCAAAAATTCATTCAATATTCATTATATGCGCAAGTATGTGATGTACAGAACAATCCTTTCAAGTTTCATTGAACTTGCATTAGAGACATAACAAGAGCACTGCTAGGCGGAGCATTATATGCCCGAAAGTGTGGTTTTTTTTCAGAAGGATGAAGCATTTGTAAGACATGGGAATTAGCTGTTCATCCTATAAAATTTTACAACTGTAGGTTGATTAATACTTAAGTTATAAATAATGACCTTAACTTTTGACCTTGTGACCCAAAAATCAAAAGGGATCTTCTATCCAATATGCACAATCATACTATGAAGTTTGAATATTGTGGGCCAAATGGAACTTAAGTTATGCTCCGGAAACTGTTTTTGGTTTTCTTGACGTTTGACCTAGTGACTCCAAAATCAATAGAGGTCTCCTACCCAATATGGACAATCATTCTATGAAGTTTGAATATTGTGGGTCAAATGGATTTAAGTTATGCTCCGGAAACTGTTTTCAATTTTTAGGTAATAGTGACCTTGACATTTGACCTTTTGACCCCAAAATCAATAGGGGTCTTCTACCCAATATGGACAATAATCCTATGAAGTTTAAATATTATGGGCCAAATGGAAATTAAGTTATGCTCCGGAAACTAATTTCAGTATCAAGGTAATAGTGACCTTGACCTTTGACCTTGTGACCCCAAAATCAATAGGGGTCTTCTACCCAATATGGACAATCATCCTATGAAGTTTGAACATTGTGGGTCAATTGGAACTTCAGTTATGCTCCGGAAACCATTTTCAGTGTTAGGGCAATAGTGACCTTGACCTTTGACCTTTGACCCCAAAATCAATAGGGGTCTTCTACTCAATATGGACAATCATCATATGAAGTTTGAACATTGTGGGCCAAATGGAACTTTAGTTATGCTCCGGAAACCAAATTGCTAACGGACGGACGGACAGACGGACGGACAGACGGAACGAGCCTATTTCTATATTTTCCTTTTTTCTTCGAGAAGGCGGGGGAAAAGAAGAAAAAATCTCCTCTAGCAGTCCCAATTAAAATTTATACATCTTTGACAGAGAACCTTCAGATATAACTACATACCCTCTAACAAACCTCTGGGCATTTTACTTTCATATTTGGAGATTTTTAATTTACATTTTTAAAACCTTTTTTTTGGCTCTGTGACCTACTTATGCAAGTGAATGGAATCATGCAAATAACTTTGATAGGGGACCACCAAAGGTTCATTCCTGTGTAGTTTGATTAATAACTGGCGTTTGAAGAGATGTTGTTTTTAATAATTGTTGAAGACGAACGGCTGACGATGACAGGGGGATGATCTCAATGAAATTAGTTAAATAATAATTTTGTCCTCTCATTCAATATAATACAAATCTTGAATCATCCATTCTAAAATGATTAAATTCAATCCCATTTTACCATATACTCAACACGCCCTTCACTGTTCAGTCTACGCCCCATTACAGAAAAGCCCCGCCCATATCCAGTTTTATCATGACAGCAATAATAATTTCCCCCGGCAACAGATCTGATGTGTTTAACCACAAATTCATCTGATGTTTCTGTCGGCAGTTGAGATGATATTCGTCTCCGTTGTCGCTCCCTCGACCTCTTATCACCATTCTTCTCTAACTTTGGCACTGATTTACGACTCTGTTTCTTCTCCTGAATTTCAGGCATAGGTGGGGTACCGTTACATAAAGTAGGAACAACAGGTTCCACTTTTTCCAGAACAGGTGGACCATCATGTACACAGTCTAAAGTCCCTGTATTAATTTCTGACTCATCATGATTATCATCATTTTGATCAAACGTTTCCAAGAATTTGTTCCATATTTCTGCGCGCATTTTCTGTTCAGCTTTTTCAGCAGACTGTTCCAGTTCTGTTTTAAATGGGTGATTACATCCTATTAATGAATCATTGGATGGAATAAGTTCTTCAAGGAATGTCAGTTGTCTAAGCTTTCTACCTGGCTTTTGTTGTATGGCAGCTAGTTTGGACGGACTGTTCTTAAATTCACCCTAAAATAGACAAAATGCATTAAAATAAGTTTCTTCTTAAGCTTGTCTGCTCAGAAGTAACCTGAAGAAATAGCAACTGAGAACCAGTTGAAATTGGTAAACCAGTAGCAATAGGTAGCGAGTCACAAATTGGGAACAAGTAGCAATGTAACAACGGAGAGCATGTAGCAACTGGGAACCAGTCTGTTTAGCTAACTGCCTTTAAAAAGGAAATGTTAAACTACTGCTTAAAAATTAACCTCACAGAAAATCTTACGTTAAGCTTTAAGTAACTAAATTGCGTCGGATTAACTGTTGTTTTTTTTTATAAAACACACACGTGAAATAATGTCTTTTTTAAGACAGAGCTTTGAACAAAGTTACAGTATAAAACGCCACACAAACTAATCTACAGATAAAATGAATGACAGGGATGGACAGACAGAGCCAAATGTATTAGATTTCCCATCCTTATATTGTAGAGAGGACAATAATTAACCTGTTCAAAATATAAAATATCAAGGGGGGAAAACTCTGTTAACCTTGTGATCAGTTGAAAGTATAAATGTACGTTATTTTTTAACATAATAAAAGGGGCTACAATCCATATACAGAACTGTATGATGATATGACTAAGAAAACAACAAATAAGTTTTAAATGAAGATTTCCCTGAAACTCAATTGACAAAGTTTTTTCTTCATGTTTTGCAAAATTACATTCCTTTTTCAAAAATAAAATTAAAAGCAAGGACTCTCCCTATCGGTAAAAAAAACAATATTTATCTTAGCCCAATAGTGAAACAAGTGCACGCAAGTGTAACTTTTATAAATCACTTTTGAAATAAAGTAATGGTGTCATATGAAAAATCTTGGTTGTGATCAGACTCAGGCTTGAACCCACTATCCCTAGGTGAATAGACAGGTACATTATCCATAATGTCATTTCTCCTCTTTAGAGAGTCAAATTACTATCCTCTGACAAATAAACCCAGTATGTTTCAACTACCTGAGAATATAATAACAGAGGCTTGAGATAATTTACAGAGAGCAGATTGAAAAAACATGGTTACACACATGTAAATACTATCAAGCAGTCTGGTCCACAGTTGTCTCCCCGTCCCTACACCTATCATCCTACCCACTTCTTACCTGCTTAAGTGCTGCTGAGTCCAGCCTTTTCTTTGCAGAACCCCTGTCTTGTAGAGGGCTGTAATGCAACTGATTCACTGGCGATTTACTGTAAAGAAGACATTCAAAATATAACAAAACAAGTTTATCAACATTTTCAATATTTATATTTGTTTTGTTTTTTTGCACTAACACAGTAAAGGTCATATGGCGACTTTCCAGCTTTACTGTGCGGGAAGACGTCTGGTGCACCTCTGTGTGTTATTTTATGCACAAACAAGAACCACAAGTAGAACCACTAAAGGTCTGTAAGCTAGCTGGATATTCTTCTCACATGAAAGAATCTGAAGACTTTTTTGTTGATAAAATAACTTTCAGAAACAAATTACGAAATCTTATATTTCCATTTCACACATTTTTATAAAATGAATTTTAAACTTCATTCATAACAGCGAAATGACGATCATTTTAACATGCAATTAATTTTTATAAAAGGCAAAAAAGTTGAAAAAACGTATGATGTCATTTAAAGCACAGGACTTGTCTTACTAGGCGGTACTAACACTGGCGTAAATAGTTAAAACTCCCATCTGAATATGAACATTGCTTTGTTGATGTGAACATTTAAGCTAAATTAAAGAAAAATCTTTCAAGGGGGTAAAAGACTTATAGATCAAGCACATCGAAATGTACGGGGCAGACACGATATAGTATTTTTAGTACAGCCTCAAACCCAAACCCATAAAATATAGGTATAACCATCGTTTTATCACCTGTGAAGAGCTAGACCAGGGTGCATATCTGTGCCGTTTGACCAGGCGCTTTCATAATAGTGGCTCTGTTTTTCTATTTTGAAAACTGAAAACTCTTAAACTTTGAATGGAACATATTGGACCACAGCCATTTCGTTTCTTTATGTGATATTATTGACGTAAATAATCGTTGTTTTTATTTGTTTTTGATATGTTTTTTGTATATATTCTTTGCTTTTAATTTTGAAAATACCATTACAAAAACAGATATTTTTTGAAACAGTATGTACCGATAAATTATAAACCGGTTTCCGATAAAGTCTAAGTACCCGTTATTGGTATGCAACCATATGTGTAGCATTGACATGCAATTATATCTGCAAACAACTGAATAATTCATATCGGAACAATAAATTGTAGAATAAATGCTTGTTGGCGTTTTTTGTTTATTGGTGTTTTTTTTATCTTTATTGCTATTTTTCTTTTTTTTTTGGGGGGGGGGGGGGGGGGGTGTTTCTATTACAGGGTTTAAAAGTCAAGCTAACACTATGATATGAAGACTCTCCATGTATAAATTTAGACATGAGAAAGCCCCTGAGTAAAACAGCTGACTTGTGAGCTAGCTTAATAGTATTTTGCAATATCAAACTTACCATTCTACAGACATGAACACATTTGACCTTCGACTTTTGATCTTTAATTTATTCATCAACTCATCATTTACTTGTCCTTTAAATGGTAGAGTTATATGAATCCTTGGGGGTGGTACCCTAACACGCAAGCCCCAAAGTGCAGCCTTCTTGCGTACTTCCACGCCATTTGAAAACCTAAAATCAGCAATAAAGTTTCAATGTGACAACATGCGAAGAACATTGTTTATTCAGAACTGTTATGTTAAGGGGTAGGAGTATAAAAAAAGCCCCTGCAAACAAACAAGCAATCTCTTGTTTTTATAATTCATAAGTAGCATCTACCTCCCTTTGGTTTAAACTAATATCCTCCCTTTGATGAAAACATTTAACTTAAACTATTAAACACAATATAAACATGATTGAGTCATTTTTTATTTGGTTGTGTTAACATATTACTAGTATAAGCCATATGGCAATTTTCTAGCTTTACTGGTGGAGGAAGACCTGTGATACCCCTCTGCATTACATCTGGCACGAACAGGCACCAGGGTGCTGAGTGTCTGAGTGCCACAGATTATCTGGATAGCTTTTTCACATGTACAATTCTAAGACGCTGGCATGGCTGAAACCTACAGCGGATACGGAGCAAGTGTTTTCAAGTAAACAACCTTCACGACTTGGCCACAAGCTCCCCCATCATCAAAACCTCAAGTATTTGTAGATGTAGATCACCCATGTTCAATATATTTGGACTGTAACAGTAGACACTAGTGTTAACAAGTATGTTTTTACTCACCTGACCTAGCTGTTCATCCAAGATGAACTATGTTCGAACTCCTACCAGCAATTACTTGGAAAAACATTCTGACAATTACCTTGTTTTGTTGGAGTCAGGAGCATTCCTCACTTAAATTTCCTTTTCATCTTCTGTCAGGTCTATAAACTGAAACATAAAAAACCTACTAAATGCATTCCCTATTCAAAACTGCAGGACAGGGAAACTATAATAAACACCTTTTCATCTTGTCAAATCAATCACTGACATTCAAGAAAAATATCTTACAAAATTTCATATCAAGTTATAATGGGAACGTCAGAAAATATGAGAAACAATAATGCTGATAGTATTAAATATCTTACATGACAACAGAGTAATAATAAATGAACGTTGTTGGAAGGTTTGAGATACATGATCCGATATGATGCATTTACTCGTATATCTTAAATGTAGCAGATATAACAAAATAGTCTTATTTATCAATAAAATATACAAAAACATTTAGTGAAATGCATTGTTCAAGTAATATGTAAATATTTTAGCAGCATGCCTCCAGATTCATGCTAATTTTCATGAAAAATTTGAAAATGTATATGAATGTGTAATATTGTGAAGTCACCGAAAAGAAGCAATTTACACATTATCAATGACACTTACAAACCACGTAAAATACTTAAAAGTGGTCAATATGCATTAATAGCCATTACGGCGTTAGTAACGCAGTAGGAATATAGATGTAAGTACAGAAAATCAGTCATAAATCGCACATAATATGTAAAATATTACCTGAATGTTAAAACCTTTTTACCTTTCCTTACATTTAAATACATTTATCTCAAGTTTAATTTTATTGAAATATTGAAATGGGAGCGTGCAGCTTTAGTTTCTATGGTGATCATCAATATTAGATCAACATTTCGATGGAATATGGAATATTTGGAAACTGCAGACAAATCAAGTGATGAAGCTTGACCAATAGAGCTTACAACAATATATACTGCTTACAGCTTTTTAGTATCAAATATTTAAATCCCTTAAATTTCAAATGGACTGTTCCAAATTTATATGCAGGATATGGTTAAATTACTGCACTACTTTCAAATACATACACAATGCATGCTTTTTAAATTGATTTCTGGCGTGTGTGGTTTACTTAATTCATCATGTTTGGGTGTCAAAGTTACGGTATGAAATTTTGATTTTGAACAATTTGATACCTGACTAATCAACAGGTAAAACAAACAAAAGAGCGGTTAAACACTAACATGTGCATGTTTTTTCACGCCAAGTGTGCTAATTACAATTATTCATTTGTTCAAAACTATCATTTTTGTTTTATTTTTAATGTTTTTTGTTTGTTTTTTCTTTATTGTGAATTTTCATAATTCTGGATATTTAATTAATTAGTCTAAATTATTAACTGATGATAAATCAGTGTCTTTCCATTGATGATTAATTAATATTGTTTCTATTGACGACAGCTCATCATGGTTTGATTTGATCTTTTTGATTTTTATTTAGCCCAATCACTTCTAAAATTATAATTTATCAAGAAATGACAAATTTACAAAGTGAAAATTATTTGTGATGTTGAAAGACATTCAGAAAACACGAATACAGTACCTCCTCAATTTAGACCAATTGGGGGACAAGTTCACCCACATAATACTGGGCGTTAATGCAGCCTAACTTTTTGTTTAAGAAAATTGTTTAAAAACATGCAGTTTATCTCTAAATTTCATTACTTTAAAGTCCTTTTCTTGCACTCTAGCAAAATTACCATGTAATTTTATCACAAATTTATCAAGAGAGCCATGATGGCCCTGAAATCGTTCATCTGTATATAGGTCCCTGGGCCAAGGCCAATTTTTAACCAGAGGTGTTTGTTCGAACAAACTTGGTAGACACCCATAAGAAGTTTATTCATGATAAATATTTTAACTTTAGCTCTTAGGGTTAATTTTAAAAAAAAATTTTAGTGTTTAACTATACACATAAAAGGAAAATCAATGACCCCATGGGAGGGGCCAATTATGACCCAATGGATTTTATTTGAACACACTCGGTAGACACTAGCTAGAAGATATTTCATGCTTAATATCTAAGATCTAGCTATTTGGGTTTCTTAAACGAAGATTTCTAAAGTTTTTACTATATACAAACAAGAGGGCCACGATGGCCCTGAAATCGTTCACTTGTATATAGACCCCTGGGGTAGGGTCAATCAAACCCAAGGGCTTTAATTTGAGCAATTTTGGTAAACACCTATTAGAACCATTTTTAAAATAAATATCTAAGCTCCAGCGCTATGGGGATTTTAAAAGAAGAGTTTTAAAGTTTTTACTATACACATATAGGGGAAAATAATTCCCCACCCCTACAGGGCCGGGCCAATTTTGACCCCAGGGATTTAATTGTAACAAACTTGGTACACACTCACTAGAAGACATTTTATGATTGGTATCTTAACTCTAGCTCTTTAGGTTTTTAAAAAAAGTTTTTTTCAGTTTTTACTATACACATAGGAAAAATCAATGACACCCGGGGTGGGGCCAATTTTAACCCAAGGACTCTTATTTGTACAAGCATGGTAGACACCAATTAGAAGATGTGTCATGCTTTATATCTTAGCTCTAGCCCTTAGGATATTTAAGAGTAGAGTTTTTAAGTTTTTACTACAGTGAAATTTGAGAAAACCGGACGGCTTTCGGACTGAGGGTTTTGTCCGGTTTTCTCAGTGGTCCAGTATTCTAAATGTCCCCTTCAGCTTGTCAGGATCTTATATTATAACCAAGCAATGATTTACAAAGGATGCTGTATATTTTAATTTTCATGATCTTGTGTACGTTTATTGCTAAATAAATAAATGATAAAAATATACAAGAAAATATGTTATTCAATAAAATTTCGAATTTAAATGACCAACAGTAACCTCAAAACAATCAAGTCCGAGTACATTTGCTTATATTTACATTTGGGTAATGGATAATGATTAAACGAAAATAGATTACTTCCTTTGTTCATAATAATGCCCCCCCCACATTGTAAATATTGCCGATAACATATTGGTCAGATTTTTAAAGTAGGTCTCGGCAAAGTTTCACTGTCTTTATTTAATTTAACTTTGTCACTTGTGGACAGCTCTAGTCTAGAATTATTTTCGGCCATGGAATAGAACTTAGCGCCAATAAATGTCGTTTCCGTTGCGTTGTCATTTTAGGAAATGAATATACAAAAGGCAACACAGTAGAAAAATACTCATCTTTTATTCATATTGATTTTAACTGATCAATTCCTCGTGCAATTTGGCATTTATTTAAAACGGTAACATCTAAACCTTACAATGAATCAAACTGTGAAAAGATACATTATAAACAAATTAGACAATCATTGTTCCGTTAGCGCTCAGTTAGCATATTAGACACAACCATTTGATAACACACATTCGGCGTCCGGTATTGTCAGGGTAATTGTCTATATAATTGATTTTGTAGTGCCCATATCAACTGTCCGATATTCGGTTTTTACAGATTTCGGTATTGTCAAGGTTTAATACAATAGTTTTAAGAAGGGAAAATTTGGGACTGAATTATTCGTCCGGTATTTAAGGAGTTTCGAATTTTTCAGCGTCCGGTTTTCTCAAAATTCACTGTTTATACATAAAGGGAAAAACAATGACCCCTCTGGGCGGTGCCAATTTTTACCCTAGGGCTTTTATTTGAACAAACCGGGGGCTGTGTCCATTGAACGCCGCCTTTCCTTGATGATCTTGTTTATCATATTTTTTGGTAGACACCCACCAGAACATATTTCATGCTTAATATCTAAGCTCTAGCTATTTTAATTTTTGAAAATATTTTATTTTAAGCTTTCACTATATACATAAAGGGAATGAACAATCGCCCCGGTGTGGGGTCAATTATGACCCATCGGGCTTTTATTTTAATAAACTTGGTAGACATCTACTAGAGGATGTTTCATGCTTAATATCTAAGCTCTAGCTATTTGTTTTTGTTAAGAAGATTTTTAAGTTTTCACTTTACAAATAGGGGGAAAATGAACCCCTGGGGCGGGGCCAATTTTGACCGTAGGGCTTTTATTTGAAAAAACTTGACACCCACCAGAAGATATTTCATGCTTAATATCTAAACTCTAGCTATTTGAGTTTTTTTAAATATTTTTTCTTAAGTTTAAGGGAAAAAAACAGTGACCCCCGGTGCGGGGCCAATTATGACACTAGGACTTTCATTTGAACAAATTTAGTAGACACCCACTAGAGGATGATTCATGCTTAATATCTAAGCTCTAGCTATTTGGGTTTCTTAAAAGAAGGTTTTCTCCCCTTAATGCTTCCGAGGGATCACTTTGTTTCCGGATTCCTAAGTTTTCACTCTATACATATTGGGAAAACAATGAACCCCTGGGCGGGGGCAATTTTGACCGCAGGGCTCTTATTTGAACAAACTTGGTAGACACCCACCAGAAGATGTTTCATGCCAAATATCTAATCTATCGCTATTTGAAATTTTTAAAAGAAGATTTTTCTAGGTTTTTGCCGTAAACAAATATGGAAAACCAATGACCCTAGGGCGTGGCCAATTTTGACCCCAGGGCTATTATTTGAATATTTTTGAAGTTTAAATATAGACATATAAGGAAATTCAGTACCCCCCCCCCCAATTTTAATCCCAGGGCTTTTAATTGAACAACCTTGATAGACACTCACCAGAAGATGTTTCATGCTTAATATCTAAGCTCTAACTCTTTTGTTTTTTAAAAGGAAGGTGTTTTAAGTTTTTACTATAGACATATGACCCCCATGGTGGGGCTTATTTTGACTCCAGGGCTTTTATTTGAACAAATTTGATAGACACTCACTAGAAGATGTCTTAGCTTAAGCTCTTTCGGTTTGATTAAATAAGATTTTTTAAGTTTTTTTCTATATACATATAAGGAAA